AGGTCCAGGAACACGACTATTGTCGGACGTCTAAATGTGTGTCTGTGTTCCAGGACCTGTCGTAGTGTGAAGATGTGGTCTATACAACCACGTCCAGGTCGAAAACCAGCCTGGTTTTCTCGAGTCTGCTCTTCACGAGCTCTAGTTAGACGTCTAAGTATAATCGAGGCTAACAATTTAGAAACTATATTAGTTAAACTTATTCCCCTGTGATTGTCACAAGAGGACTTCTGTCCTTTCTTATAGATTGGGACAATCAGTGATTGAGACCAGTCAGATGGGATTACGTCCATTTCCCAGATTCTACCTAGGATCTCGGTCAGTCTAACCGTTAAAACTGGACCACCATCCTTAAACATCTCAGGGGTAAGCCTATCGGGACCTGCCGCTCTACCTCTCCTTAGATTTCCTATAGCTTTCTCAACTTCATGTAAACTGGGAGTGTGGTGCTGTGTTGCGAACTACTTATAAGTAGTATATAGCGTGAGTGTCAACGTAAAGTCTGGTAGCATAATATGGGGGGAAGATCAAGAAAGGAAGAGTCAGAAAACAATGGAATTTGTATGAAACGCATGAAGAGTGACAATGGATTGATGTTTGGCAACAGGAACAGTCCAGTTCCATAGGATGAACTGATCTTTTGCAAATGAACGATTTACGATATGGTTTTCCGATTTTACTGACTAACTCTGTAATTTTCGTTAAATACAATTCGGTTGCCCCCACCTGTGTTCTCATTCACTACATTTGGTGTCGCTGCCTGCTCGAGGGCAGGGGCTCCCGTGGCCGAAGGAGTTGCAGGACGGAGATTGGCGGAGCTTCCTGGAGGAGTTTGGGGCCACGGTGGAGCTGGTGGGGGCCTGGGGCGGAGTTGACGGTGCTGGGGACGCTGTGGGGAGGTGAGGCGAAGGCGCTGCACGACAGCCTGGACGGTGCCACCAAGGAGACGGCGTGGGAGACGGTCACCGGGCGGCTGATAATGGAGTTCGACAGCCCAGCGGACAGGGAGGAGGCGCCGCAGAGGTTCCGGTTGGCGCGGCTGTCGGCCGATGGTGACCTGTTGGTGCTTGCTGTGGAGCTCACCGGATTGCGCCGTGAGGAGTGGACGGGGCACAGTCTTTGGCGTCGCAATTTATCGAGTGTGTGCCTGCCGCCGTGTTCCAGCATCGGGAACTTGTGGACGCTACACGTTGGATAGATGCCGTATCCATTCCAGACCAGTGATCAAGAACGATGACCGAAGTGGTAATCCGGCATAGTGTAGCGTGTCACGGAATACGGAAGGTGATATTAACTGACCAGGAGCTCTGTTTTGAAGGACCACGACGACAGCTTATTAAAAGGGGGGACGAGTGTGGTGCTGTGTTGCGAACTACTTATAAGTAGTATATAGCGTGAGTGTCAACGTAAAGTCTGGTAGCATAATATGGGGGGAAGATCAAGAAAGGAAGAGTCAGAAAACAATGGAATTTGTATGAAACGCATGAAGAGTGACAATGGATTGATGTTTGGCAACAGGAACAGTCCAGTTCCATAGGATGAACTGATCTTTTGCAAATGAACGATTTACGATATGGTTTTCCGATTTTACTGACTAACTCTGTAATTTTCGTTAAATACAATTCGGTTGCCCCCACCTGTGTTCTCATTCACTACAGGAGGACTTAAATCGATTTGCCATTCAGGATGACTGGAGATCGTGGGCAACCGAAGAGTGGCTGAAGGCCAGTTGAACTGATCCATAAAGTGTTCTGCCCATCGGTCCAGCCTCCTAGATTGAGAATGGATAATAAGACCATCCTTTTCCGAGATAGTCTCACTTACATTCGGGTTCCTAATACCGGTTTCTTTGATAAGGCGGAAAAGTTGTCTAGTGTTGCCTATCGCCGCTGCCTTTTACATCGCTTTTGCTTTCGCCACCCACCACTGTTCACGGTCGTTACGTAGGCTTTTTATAAGTCTGCACCTAAGCTGACTACGCTCTTCATCATGTTCAGAGTTAGGTGGGATGCGTTTTCGAGCATCCATCAGTTCGGTGGATGCGACTGAAATCCACGGTTTCATCCTAGCATTGTGGTTTACCTTGCTAGCAGATACCATTGCTGTTTCCACAGCCTTCTTGATATCATTCCAACCTGCTTCAGGATGGGAATCACTTGCATGGCCGCCTAACTGTTTTTCTAGTTCCTCCTGAAATATTTTCTTAGCTTGATTATCATCAAGTAAAGCCCTAAGAGGCTTCCTTACGGTGTCTTTCCTACGTCCAGCAAGCCTCAAACAAATACGTGCTCGCACTAGGGCATGATCTGAATCTAGACATGTGCCCCAGAACGAGCGACAGTCCTCTATCGAACCCCTCCATCGGTGGCTGATGGCGATATGATCTAGTTGTGTCCAACGTTGAGACGACTTCGGGGGTCGCCAGGTCAACAGATGCTTTTCCTTATGCTTAAAATTAGTGTTTGCTAGAAATAGTTGGTTATCTGAGCACAGTTGCAACAGACGGTCGCCATTGTCTGTTCTTTGAGCCGCGAGACCGTAACATCCACCTAGGTGTCTTTCATTTTCACTCAGTCTACCTACTTGTGCATTGAAGTCACCAGCCATTATAACTATATCAGAGCGCTTAACTTTTTGGAGGAGGTCCGAAAGCTTTCTGTAAAACTCATCTTTTACATCATCTGGGCTGCAGTCAGTGGGGGCGTAGGCTGATATGACGAAGAGGCAACGGCGATTGTCCCTATCTTTCCGAGTCCTTACTGTACCGTTGAGTCGGACGGCGCACAAGCGACTGTCTACAGGGATCCAGTCAAGGAGAGATTGTTCTGCCCTTCGACTCAATGCTATACCTACACCAGCGAGGCCCCTAGAAGCAGCATCAGGGCTACCGGATACACGAAGGGTAAATCGAGCTGCTTCTTTATCTTGACATGGTGAGGTCAAATGAGTGATGCTACTCGGATCCTGTATGCGCGTTTCCGAGACGCAGCACACATCGATGGAACGAGATTCTAAAGTCCTAGCTAATGATGCCTGTTGCCCTATTTGACACAATGTCCGTACATTGAATGCTCCAACATGTAGTTTGGAACGGGGTTTAAGGAGACCAGGAACGACGTTTCGCAAACTCGCATCGTTTGCATTAGCTGTGCACTGTAATAAATGAATGTGAGAAGAGTTAGTTGTGGAGATAAGAGAGGTATTAGGGAATGTAGGAAGGATTTGATTTTGAACAATTTTGTCTCGTGTGCTGTTGCGGGTATGAGGGCGGTTATCACTTCCCGGCTGCCCACACCGTGGAAGGTTGTTTCTTGACGAACCTGAAAAGGAAGATGGATTAGTGTTGGTGCGTGACCGCAGAGTCCAAGGGACAACTGCTTGAGGCCGGTCACGCACGGCCTTTTTATGAGAGGTATTTTGAGGATTAGCTCCGTTCTTAAAGGCCCTTAGTGGGCACCCTTACCCAAGGAGACGGAAATCCGTGAGGTAGGGGAGGTGTGACATTTTTAGGGCCGACCTTTTCTAACCCTTCCTTCCTTGTGAGAAGGCAGCATCGCTGCAGATGCTGGTTGTCCAAGGGAAACACCTTACTGCTGTCACACCCCTCTGCAGTCAGCAGTACGACTTCGCCCTCAGACCTTGGGTAGCTGCTTTTAGTCTCATCGTTCTCCAATCGACCTGCCTGGCATGGTAGGACCTGCAGGAACATGTGTTCCAGCCAATATAGCTCGGTTGGGTCATCACGATAGGCAAGCCCGACAACCACGTCAAGGTAGCAGCTTCGGTCGGGCCACACCGTGGGAGGGTTCTGGTTGTCAGAAGGGGAATCGGCCTAATGATTTCCGAAGGAACTCGGCTTTCATCATGAGACATTATCACTCCTCTAAATGAAGACCTAACTCTCAGAGCAGACATTATATGGTTTGAATTATTTTTTCTTGTTAGCATTTCTTGGCAAGTTAGTCTATTTCCGGGATGTGGTCGTCAACCACAACCCTCCCCCTTTACCCGGGCTTCGGACCGGTAGTAACCCCGAAGGGTCTATATTGATTGACTGATTTATTATTATAACAGTTCTTCAATTTATAGAATTATATAATAATTTATAAAGATATACTATCTCCGTAAAAACGGTTGATGTTAGGCTTCAATATTTACATATAGAAGTGCCACTATTTTTCATTTTTCCTTAAGTTTTTTTTCTCTTACGAAATCACATTTTCAAGCTATATATCAGTGTTCCACAACATGCTAGATAAAACGTTGTTCACTATATTAGAACACAGAACCGATAGTAGTTATATATTACCACCGGTTTATGTTTACAGATAGTTCAAGGTCAGACAACCATAAATTTATGTTCATTATTATGGTTTAACGGAAGTATTGGATACCTTTTAATCCATTGTATTATATTCAGCAACTAAATAAGTGATTGAGTTTAGGCTACCACTGAAATGGCTACTCGAACGGTACATATCACACAGACACTAGATCACATGAAACCAGATGCACGATTTACGACCAAAATAGAGAACCAGAAAATTACAAACAGTCACATTCTGAGTTTGGGTTATAAATCATTTAGGGGGGATAGAATAACAGATTTAATAGTCATAAGGCGTTAGTTGTTTGTCCACACTCAACGACCAATCACATTTTACTTTTACTACCACACATCACATTACATAGCTTCTTCGTCTTTTCAGAAATATCCTACTCCTCGTTCCATGTCAGATGTCTATTTTTTCCAATGTTGCTGATCTTGTATTTCTCTAATGTTATCCTATTGCAACATAAGTATGTATAGTAGATGCTGAGAGTTTTTAATTGTAAGTAGTATGACCCGTTTTTGAAGAGCTATCCTATTAAGGCATTTAGCCATAGACACGTACCCAATAATATTTAACGTAGAAATTTTCTTCGACCTCTCCAGTTTGATCGCTACAACTATGTATGTTCATAATTTTATATTAATGATTGATTATACTTCATAACAGCTGTACAGTGTGTGGATCAAGGATCACCTCGCAGATGCGGTGGACAGGGAGATATTCTGTCTGGTACAATGTCAGTCTTCAACTACTGGTTTCACCAACCGAAGGATAACAATCAGTAAGTTATAATTAATTTTTTTCAGCCAATAATTCTGTTGTTCTACCGTTGGTACTGAGTCTTTGATCCTTACTAATTTAAAGTACAGAGTATTGTTTGTTCGGAAAAATACTCCTATGTTGTGATTGTTTAAGATCCTTCTGATTTCGAATTAATGAAAATTTTCTGACAAGAAAGTGTGAACCAACTGTCCTACATTCATTGAAACATAATAACGAGATAGGGAACAGTTCTAAGTATCTGGATGCAAACAAAGTAGCAAAGTATATCTAATAGACATTGAAATCAACATGAACTATCCTTGCGTAAAAAGATGTCTCAAGTTCAACATGAACAGACTGCGACTGTTGACTTCTGAAATTATTTCATTGATCAAGCCTTCTTTAAATAGTGTTGCAAAAAAACAAACGGATGATTAAAATATTAGTTGTATTATTACATCTAAAACCCAACGTTTCTAATTTATCAAGAGATAAAATGTTTGCTCCAAAACAACTACATAATGACAAAAAAATATATCACAAGAGCAGATAAAGGTAACACCACCGTTATTGTGAATAGCTGATAATGTAAAAATAAATTTGCGAGCCTCTCCAAGATATAAACTACGGAAAAACCAAGTAAAACAAATGTAGAATCATTTTAGGCGAGCTGAAAGCCGAAACAAACGAAATGATAGTCTTTAAAATCTAAGCTTGGACACTCCCTGTGTTTCTTTCAATATCTAAAAAGCTGCAGTCCTTTTAGATTCTATGGGCTACCAAAGCTCTGTAAGGCAAGTTTCCTACTTAGACCAATGGTTGATCGTACAAATTCTAAAGTGTAATATTTCGAAGTACCTTGTTAATATTCTTAAACTATATGAAAAGGGATTAAAAATTAGAATTTAAGTTCATGTGAATTCAACGACATCACTTCTACTATCCATATAGCAGGTTAATTAATAGCAAGTTTTGATGTTTGTTCTTTTTCTTATATCCATTACAACAAATTCCACTTTCAACATTGTTAACATGATTGTTTAGTATTCCACGGTGTGGGCAGCCGGGAAGTGACAACCGCCCTCATACCCGTAACAGCACGAGAAACCAAATCGGTCAAAATCAAATCCTTCCTACACTATTGGGTTTGAATTGACCATCACATCTCTGTGCTGATGTGGTATGGCAACATGAACTGATGTACTTACGTACGAAGTTCTACGTTGCAGCTGACTGACTGAGTATTCAGTTAACCAGTGAACTATGTATATATATTCGACATATTTTTATATATGATCATATTTTGTTGAAAAAGTTTGGACGAGATTGTCGATCAAAACATTGGATTTACGTAAAGTTCAAATATCTGAGATTTATGTAATTATAACATCATCAGACAAATTGTAATTATAAAATGATTAGGTTTGGCTATACGCCGAATCAGAGGATGAGTTTTTAAATGGGCCTATATAATTCTAATCGACAACGAATAAGACAGACGACAAACCAAGCACATAAAAACGTACATGTGCAGGTCGAAACTTGGTATGAGAACCATAGATTTATTAAGTGATAACAATAAAACATTAATCATACATTGTCTGTCCGAATGAGATTAAATCTATATAAGCGTACATAAAGACACTGCATATTAATTCTTTAGTCAGCTATTTGTCCCCATGAACAAAAATCCTTAAGATGGCTGAGCTTTTAGCTTCAATCCTTTTTCCTGTCCATATCCAGTTTAATTGTAGGAGGTTCTAATAGTCATACGTACTTACTACTGTTAACCACAATGGATCAGAGGCCGCCGACCAATGTTCTCCAACCTACTCTGTCCTGGGCTTCCCTTTCCAGCTCTGTCCAGTTTTTGTTCATTCTTCTCACATCGTTTTCTATTTTTCGGCGTAATATGTTTCTTGGCCGTCCTCTTTTCCTTTTTTCTTGAGGGATCCATGTGAGGGCTTGTCTTGTGACGCAGTTGGGTGCCTTCTCAGTCACTCTGTTGCAATGTAGAACTTCGTACGTAAGTACATCAGTTCATGTTGCCATACCACATTAGCACAGAGACGCAATCGCCAATCCGAATCCCATAGTGCTAGAGATAGTAGAATAATTACTGCTAATGGAGATTACGATTTGAAGATAATATTCAAGAAGTATAATTCAGTGAGATAAGTTTAGAAAGACAAGGGAAGAGGTGTTGACGAATCCAGAAGATTAGGATTCGAGAGAACACAGACAGTGGATGCACCTGCGCCATCGCAAACGATTTTGAACCATGTCGTTCTAGGTCTATAAACACCGGTGACTTTCGTCTCGCAGACTCCAACTCAACTGGTGGAGTTCCAATACTTCATCTATCGATCTGCCATCCCTACCTAGAACTCGTTTCCTGATGGGCAGCATGGCAAACTCTGCTGTCCGAGGATACACGAGCAATGCTTCGGAAACACCTATGATCGAAGACTAGCAATCTACGAATGTCCTTTACTCTTACCGGCCGTGTTTCGCATCAATATAGAAGAAGGGAGAGAACTACTGCACAGTAAACTTGTCCTTTAGTTAGCAAACGGATATCTCGTCTACGCCATAAGTGACGCAGGTTGGCAAAAGCCAATCGAGCCTTCCGTATCCGAGCTGAGATTCCGTCAATCACCAGGCCATCGGCACTGATGAGACTCCCAAGATAAGTGAAGCGGTCTACACGTTCGACTACTTCACTCCCTATCACTCGTTCAGGTGCCGATGCAACCCAGTCTTGAAGCAACATTTTGCATTTCGAGGGGGAAAACCGCATCCCGAACATGCTTGCATTGTTGCTTAGGGTGGTTATAAGACTCTGCATTTTGTCAGCGTCTTCACCAAGTAGGACTATGTCATCGGCATATTCAAGGTCAATGAGCGAGCCTCCTGGTAGAAGGTCTACTCCTGAAAACTCAGACGAGGATAAGGTTATATCTAGGAGCATGTCTATGATAAAATTGAACAAGGATGGAGAGAGTGGACATCCTTGACGGACACCACTTGAAGTAAAGAATTCCGGTGACAGTTCGCCATAAGCTCTCACTCGACCAGCGGTGTTCGAGTAGCGAGCTTGTATAAGGTTAATGTACTTCTTTGGTACACCTTTCAATGACAAACACTGCCACAGAACCTCACGATCAACAGAGTCGAACGCCGTCTTAAGGTCCAGCAAGACAACTATTGTAGGACGCCTAAATGTGTGTCTGTGTTCCAGGATCTGTCTTAGAGTGAAGATGTGGTCTGTAAATCCACGTCCAGGTCTGAAACCAGCCTAGTTTTCTCTAGTCTGCTCTTCATGGGTTTTCGTTAAGCGTCGAAGTATTACTGAGGCCAATATTTAGGATACTATATTAGTTAGACTTATTCCCCTGTGATTGTCTCAAGAAGACTTGTGTCCTTTCTTATAGATTGAGACAATCAGTGATTGAGACCACTCGGATGGGATTGTGTCCAGTACCCAGATTCTGCATAAGATCTCAGTCAACCTAGCTGCTAAAATTGGACCACCATTCCTCAATATCTCAAAGGTCAATCAGTCAGGACCTGCAGCTCGCCCTCGCTTCAGATTTCCTAACGCTTTCCTAACTTCGTGAAACGTAGGCGCACTTACATCGATTTGCCATTCAGGATGACTGGAAATCGTGAGTAACCGAAGAGTGGCTCGAGGCCAGTTGAACTGATCCTTCAAGTGTTCTGCCCATCGATCCGATCTCCTAGATTGTGAATGAATGATATAGACATCTTTTTCTGAGATAGTTTCAACTACAAATATATTTCTAATACCGGTTTCCTTTATAAGGCGGAACAAGTGTCTACTGTTGCCTATCGCCGCTGCCATTTCCATCTCTCTCGCTTTCGCCACCCACCACTGTTCGCGGTCGTTGTGTCGGCTCTTAGTCAGCCTGCACTTAAGCTGACTTCGTTCTTCATCATGTACAGAGCCAGGTGGGATGAGTTTTCGAGCATCCATCAGTTCGGTAGTTGCTACTGAGATCCACGGCTTCATTCTAGCCTTATGGTCGCCATTATCTGTTCTCTGAGCCACGACACCATATGATCCACCCAGGTGTCTTTCCTTCCTGAGGAAGCCCGAAAGCTTTCTGTGGAACTCATCTTTGACGTCGTCTGAGTTGTATTTAGTGGGTGCGTGGGCAGATCCGACAAAGAGGCAACGGCGAGTGTCCCTATCTTTCCGAGTCCTTACTCTCCCGTTCAGTCAGATAGCTCACAAGCGACTGCCTACTGGGATCCAGTATAAGAGCGGTAGTTCTACCCTAGGAATCAATGCTATACCTACACCAGCGAGACCCCGGGAAGCAGCATCAGGGCTACCGGACACACGAAGGGTAAATCGAATTGTCTCTTTATTTTGACAAGGTGAAGTCAAATTGATGACTAAACTAGGATCTTGCATGCGCGTTTCCGAGACCCAGCATACGTCGATGTCGCGAGATTCTAAAGTCCTAGCTAATAAAGCCTGTTGCCCTATTTGATGCGTGAACGCACATCGTTTGCATTAGCGGTGCAGTGTGACAAAGAAATGTGAGAGTTAGTCGTGGAGACAATGGTGATGTTAGAGGATGTAGGAAGGATTTGATTGTGACCGATTTAGTCTAGTGTGCTGTAACTGGTATGAGGGCGGTTGTCACTTCCCGGCTGCCCATATCGTGGAAGGTTGTTTCTGGGGGGACCTGAAAAGGAAGGTAGATTAGCGTTGGTCTTGGAGACCTGGGATCGTGGCCGCAGAGTCCAAGGGACAACTACTTGAGGCCGGTCACTCACTGCCTTTTTATGAAGTGTTTTTTGGGTATCAGCTCCGCTCTTAAGAGCCCTTAGTGGGCACCCTTACTGACGGAGACGGAAATCCTTAGTCAACCTTTTCTAACCCTTCCCTCCTTGTGAGAAGGCAGCATCGCTGCAGATGCTTGTTGTCCGAGGGACGTACCTTACTGCTGTCACACCCCTCTGCAGTCAGCAGTACGACTTCGCCCTCAGACCTTGGGAGGCTGCTTTTAGTTTCATCGTTCTCAAATCGACCTGTTTGGCATGGTAGAACCTACAGGAACATATGTTCCAGCCAATATAGCTCGGTTGGGTCATCACGATAGGCAAGCCCGACAACCACGTCAAGGTAGCAGCTAGGGTCGGGTGGGTTCTTTCTGCAATGTGTCCTATTCACTCCCACCACTTCTCCCTGATTTACTCTTCCAATGGAATCTGGTTGCTGATAGTGTTTGCCCAACGAATCCGAAATATTTTGCGCAGACAACTGTTCATAAATACTTGTATCTACTGGTTGATGGCTTTCGTAGTTCTCCAAGTTTCTGCTCCATACAGTAGAACTGTCTGGACAGTTGTATCGAAAATCCTGATTTTGGTGTCGACTGATAGTTATTTGGAGTTCCAGATGTTGTCAAATTGTAGAAATACAACCCTTGCATTGCCGATCCACGCCCTAACATCTACATCAAATTCACATAGCTCATCAAGGATGTTGCCCAGATATGTGAAGGTGTTAGCTTCCTCCAAAGAATCTCCATCAAGAGTGATTCGGTTGGCGCATGTTGTTTTGTATAGAGGAATCTTGCTTTTCCCTTTATGTATGTCGAGACCTACTGCTGCTGAGGCTGCTACTACACTGATCGTCTTCTCTTGCATTTGTTATTGCGTGTGTGATAGAAGAGCCAGATCATATATGAAGTCTAGATTGTCCAGCTGCATCCTGGTTGTCCAATGTATACGGTGCTTCCCTCCAGATGTTGACGTCTTCATAATCCAGTCGATCAAATGGAGAAAGAGAAAGGGTGAGAGTAAGCAACCTTGCCTGACACCGGTCTTCACCTCAAAAGAGTCTGTCAACTGTCCTCCGTGCACGATTTTGCAGTTGAATTCATCATAAGAATTCCGTATGATGTTGACTATCTTCTCAGTCACGCAACAGTGTTAAAGAATCCTCCATAGTGTTTTCCTGTCCTCGCTATCGAATGCTTGCTCGTAGTCGATGAAGTTGATGTAGAGTGGTGAGTTCGATTCAGTTGACTGTTCCACAATGATTCTTAATGTTTTAATTTGATCGGTACACGATCGATCCTTACGAAATCCAGCTTGTTGGTCTCGAAGTTGAGCGTCTACGAAGTCCGTCATTCTGTTCAACACTACCCTGTTGAAGACTTTGCCTGCTGTTGAGAGAAGAGTGATGTCTCTGCAGTTCTTACATTTGCTGAGATTTCCTTTCTTTGGTATTTTGATGAGGTATCCTTGTTTCCAGTCTGTTAGTACTTGTTCTTCATCCCAAATCTTGTTGGAGAGTATGTGGAGTATTTTTGCAGTTGCTGCACCGTCTGCTTTCATTGCCTCTGCTGGAATGTTGCCTGGTCCCGCTGCTTTACCGCTCTTGATTTGTCTGACGGTCATACTGATCACTTCAATTGTTAGTGGGCTAACATTGACTGGGAGGTTGGTGGATGCTGGTTCGATGTTGGGTCTGTTCAGTGGGGCTGGGCGATTCAAGCGTTTTCCGAAACGCTCCACTCACCTGTTACGCAGTTCTTCAATGTTGCTGTTTACCTTGGCTTTCTTGATTTCCACTGGTAGTTCTGGTTTACGATAGTTTCCATCCAGCTTTGTTGTATCCTTCAATTATCTCAAGTTCCCTTCTCTTGCAGCCTTTTCCGTCGTAATTGCTAGGTCTTCTGCTTGTTCTTTGGCATTTTCTGCTTTTGTTTTGCTGATATTGATTGCAGCCTTCTTGTTCCTCCTTTTTTGTCTTATCCCGTTGGATGCCGGCCCAGTGGTCCAAAGGTTAATCGTTCGCGCACAATACCTGATGTCCCGGGTTTGAATCCTGCGAGGTGCTGGAGTCGTGGATGCGGACTGCTGATGAGACCCATACCAGGATCAAACGGCCGTACTGTGCTTCCATTTTACTAACGATGATTGACTAACGTTTTCAAATGTGTAAAAACACTAATCTCCATGATTGTAATTGAAAATATCTTGAATTCGTTGAGTTTGCCAGTATCTCGAAGAACGGCCGTACTAAACTTTCGTGACGTTGTCCACTGCGTTGTCCTGTGCTTCTTGAGTTTCAGTTTAATTTTGGCGACCAGCAAGTGGTGATCTGAGGCTGTGTCATCCCCTCTCTCGGTTCTCACGTCCTCCACTGTCCTTATGAACTCTTCTTTGATGCAGATATTGTCGATTTGATTCTGAGTAGTGTGATCCGGTGAAATTCATGTACCTTTGTGTACGCGTTTATATGAGAATATGACGTCGCTGATAACTAGTTTATTGAAGACATATAGGTTTGCTAATCTCTCACCGTTGTCCTTCCTTTCTTCCAGTCTATGTTGTCCCATGATGTCTTCATATCCAATGTTGTCCATTTCATTCTTGGCATTTAGATCTATCATATTCTTTTTGATTACCAGAGGTATAACAGCAGTTTCCTTGAAGCTAGTCTCAGTTGTCCTACCTGTGTCCAATGCGTTTCACTGATTCCAAGCACCTCCAAGTTGTATCTCTTCATTTCTGCAGCAACTTGAAATATTCTTCCAGTCTTCCACAATGTTCGAACGTTCCATGTACCTAAAAGAATGGTTGCTCTGGTTGTGAGAAGTAACATCGTCCTCATGACTTCCGAGGGAACTCGAGTGAGGGCTTTTGGCAAACTGTTTTCGGAATTCTCTACTTCAAGTGGCGTCCATCAGGTCTGTCTACTCTCTCCATTCATGTTTAACTTTGTCATGGACATGCTTCTAGATATGACATTATCTTCGTCTGAATTTTCAAGAGTGATCGTTCTATCATGAGATTCACTGACTGCCTTAGAGTATGCTGACGACATAGTTCTATTTGGTTAAGGCGCTGATAAATTACAGTGTCTTCTGACTACCCTGAGCAACAATGCGACCATGTTCAAGATGGGATTCTCTCTCTCGAAATGGAAAATTTTGCTTCAGAATTGGCTTGTATCGGCACCTGAACTAGTAATAAGGAGTAAAAGAGTTGAGCGTGTAGACCACTTCACTTAGAATAAGAAGATATTCGTAGGTTGCTTGTTTTCTATCGTAGGTGCCTCCGAAGCATTGATTGTGTATTATGGGACAACCTAGTAAGCAATGTTGTTGTTAGGAAACGGGTTCTAGGTAAGGACGACAGGTCAATAGAATGAGGTAGTGAGACTTCATCAATGGAGGTGGTTGGGCTATGTGTTACGTTTGCCTAGCCACCGACTGCCTCGTCGAACTATGTTTTGTGGCGCAGGAGTAGTTTGGTAGAAAGCTATGGGCGGCCATACCAGAAATCCATGAAGTGACTGACAAGTGAACTGAGTCATATCGGTAGGTGTCGACTACCTGATTGGGGCTCCGCGAGATGATAGTAATCGATGGTTAGAGACCCTGAGTGATATGGTTGAAAACCGTTTGCAATGGCGCAGGTGTATCCCTCGTTGTTTTCTATGAGATTCTAATCTTTTGAATTCCCCATCACCCCTACCTTTTCTTTTTAAACTTATCTCACTAGATCCTAATTCTTGAATAATATCTTTGAACCCTTATCTTCTCCATTACCAGTATAACTCCTAATCTGTACTAACGTGGTATGGCAATCTGAACTGATGTACGTACGTACGAAATTCTGCGTTGTAACTGGCTGATCTGGAGTTTTAAGCACCTATTCCTTTCTGATTAAAGCACCTGGAAATTTATCAAAGTCTAAGTTTGGTTCGCTTTTATTTAATCGATATTGTTTTATCACTCGCGGGATATGGCCTACCGACATAGAAAACGTGACGACTTCAAATCTGTCAAGTCAGCTTATACTAAATAAAGTAAGAGTTGGGTGTATAGATTTTCAGATTGGTGGAACTGAGATTTCTAGAGTACATGGAAATCGGTGCGAGATGTTTGCAAATAAAAACTTGAGGTGGAATAGCATAAAATTAGTCCTAATCTCACATACAAATCCGTCTATTATTTTCACGTAGATTCCAAACATGAATCTTCACTTCATATTTCCCTGCATTTATCCAATACAGTTGACACTGTTCTGACTTTCCAGTTCAACTTAGTGCAGTAATTATTAGTACGACAAAATGGGTTGGCACATATATAATAGATTCTATCTAGTTTGTATCATCCAAACTGAAAGATCAATAGTAAACTTATTCTGTTTCACGTACAATCACTAGGGCAAAGTCCAAATTATTTCCTGTTGTTTTTGTAAATTGAAACAACGAGCTTCAGTACCAAATGCTATGTTGTTGAGGATTATATATGTATAGCTTGTATTTCTTTTTTCATCATTAAAAATTTTCAGGAGTCTACTGTCTACAGCTACTATTGGAGCGGCATTCGCAGCTTGTTCTCTTACACGAAGATGTTCACAATTGGCATACACTAAGTACGGTCGTTCTATGATAACTACGGATATGCTACCAGAAATACATCATGCATTTGAACAGCTCTTCACTGAGTCACCAAATACATGAAATAAAATTCCTTGCTTTTTGTGTGCTAAACAAATCCGACTGAGTGGAGTCCACTAGGTATATGTTAACTTGGTATTGTAATTGACTGATTGTGTGTATTTCCGATTGCGTCCAAATCTTGGACTTTTAATCCAATTTTATCACATTTTAATCAGTTTGTGCAAGACCCATTTATGAAAAAGTCTTCTCGACAACTTTCTCATAATTGCTGAAGAAGTCTTTTCATAGGATGAGTATGAGACGCTAGGACATAAATCGGTATATATAGTTCAACGAAGGGGACTCTCCGGTAGGTTCGTATCTGAAGTTATACAACTGCACATATATACTATTTTTCCGATTAAAACCAATATTTCTCAAACAAAATGTAAAAATTTACTCTTAATTTACGAGACTGGTTTAGTGTCAAAGGACTTAAAAAATAAATCACAAATACTGTCAAGACAAGCTAAAATGGGTTATTAGGAAATCGGGTTGTATAATACGATAGGTCCAAAAGATGATCTCAAAAAGGGTTTTAAGGTCATATCCCCAAGAACATTACTGGACTACTCCTCAGGCATCGGGCTTCCTCGTGCGCAAAGTGAACCCTTACTTTACACAAATTCACTTACATTCTATGGACTGGTAAAAACAATGTTTGTTTCCAAGTAAATAGATTGTAACAGTAAATAAAGGCCTCTCAAGGGTAAGAAATTAGGATTTGTATTACCAATGAATTTAGTTCGATCATTTAGAAGTGATTTCAAATAGGTTGAATACATTGTACAAAGTTGATGTCAATATTTGCTGGAAAATGTATGTTCTAAGCTCTGTGTATCGTTAATCGAATGCATCCTGAATGATCGAAATTGTAAGAAAGCCAAAAAGACTAAATTTAGTGTTTAAATAGCTATGTAAATAGCTATGCACTATGTAATAAATCGATAAATAAAATTTACGCGTTAGGAGCACATGGGATTTCACAGAGATCAATTATTGAGTTTATTGGCAATGTTAGTTTGATTCCCCGACCGAAGCTGCTACCTTGACGTGGTGGTCGGGCTTGCCTATCGTGATGACCCAACCGAGCTATACTGGCTGGAACACATGGTCCTGCAGGTCCTACCATGCCAGGCAGGTCGATTGGAGAACGATGAGACTAAAAGCAGCTAAGAAGGTCTGAGGGCGAAGTCGTACTGCTGACTGCAGAGGGGTGTGACAGCAGTAAGGTGTTTCCCTTGGACAACCAGCATCTGCAGCGATGCTGCCTTCTCACAAGGAAGGAAGGGTTAGAAAAGGTCGGCCCTAAAAATGTCACACCTCCCCTAACTCACGGATTTCCGTCTCCTTGGGTAAGGGTGCCCACTAAGGGCCTTTAAGAACGGAGCTAATCCTCAAAATACCTCTCATAAAAAGGCCGTGCGTGACCGGCCTCAAGCAGTTGTCCCTTGGACTCTGCGGTCACGCACCAACACTAATCCATCTTCCTTTTCAGGTTCGTCAAGAAACAACCTTCCACGGTGTGGGCAGCCGGGAAGTGATAACCGCCCTCATACCCGCAACAGCACACGAGACAAAATTGTTCAAAATCAAATCCTTCCTACATTCCCTAATACCTCTCTTATCTCCACAACTAACTCTTCTCACATTCATTTATTACAGTGCACAGCTAATGCAAACGATGCGAGTTTGCGAAACGTCGTTCCTGGTCTCCTTAAACCCCGTTCCAAACTACATGTTGGAGCATTCAATGTACGGACATTGTGTCAAATAGGGCAACAGGCATCATTAGCTAGGACTTTAGAATCTCGTTCCATCGATGTGTGCTGCGTCTCGGAAACGCGCATACAGGATCCGAGTAGCATCACTCATTTGACCTCACCATGTCAAGATAAAGAAGCAGCTCGATTTACCCTTCGTGTATCCGGTAGCCCTGATGCTGCTTCTAGGGGCCTCGCTGGTGTAGGTATAGCATTGAGTCGTAGGGCAGAACAATCTCTCCTTGACTGGATCCCTGTAGATAGTCGCTTGTGCGCCGTCCGACTCAACGGGACAGTTCGGGATGCTGTTTTCCCCCTCGAAATGCAAAATGTTGCTTCAAGACTGGGTTGCATCGGCACCTGAACTAGTGATAGGCAGTGAAGTAGTCGAGCGTGTTGATCACTTCACTTATCTGGGGAGTTTCATCAGTGCTGACGGTCTGGTGACTGACGAAATCTCAGCTCGGATACAGAAAGCTCGATTGGCTTTTGCCAACCTGCGTCACTTATGGCGTAGGCGTGATATCCGTTCGCTAACCAAAGGGCGGGTGTACTGCGCAGCAGTTCGTTCCGTTCTCTTATATGGCTGTGAAACATGGCCGTTAAGAGTAGAAGATGTTCGTAGGTTACTAGTATTCGATCATAGATGTTTAAGAAGCATTGCTCGTATATCGTGGGACACCCGAGTTAGCAACGCTGTTATTAGGAATCGGGTGCTAGGTAAGAATGGCAGATCAATCGATGAAGTGGTGAAACTTCATCAGTTGAGGTGGTTGGGACACGTGTTGCGTATGCCTAATCAGCGACTGCCTCGTCGAGCTTTGTTTTGTAGTGTAGGAATAGGTTGGAAGAAAACTAGGGGCGGCCAGACCAAAACATGGCAGAAATCCATGAAGTCATTGACGAGTGGACTTAGCCATGTCGGTAATTGTCGACTACCTGGTTGGGGTCCGCGAGATGATAATAATCGATGGTTAGAGACCTTGAATGACATGGCTCAAAATCGTTTACAATGGCGCAGGTGCATCCACTCTTTGAGCTCTCTCAAATCCTAATCTTCTGGATTAGCCAGCACCTCTACCTTTGTCTTTCTAACCTTATCTCACTGAATTATATTTTTTGAATAATATCTTAAACCCTAGTCTTCTTTATTATAACATTAATACCTCTACCATCTTTATCACTATGGGATTTGATTTGACATTTGCGTCTCTGTGCTAATAATGTGGTATGGCAACATGAACTTACGTACATACGTACGAAGTTCTACGTTGCAACTGACTGACTGTTAGTTTGATTGAGTTATTTAAAAATAAGTTTAGGTTTGGAACCCGTATCTAAATTTTGAAAATGCCATAGTATGAGCAAGCGTTTGTTTGCGTCTTACTGGACACAAAAAAGCCAAGAAAAAATTCCAAGTTTGATTTTTCAGAAAAGTAAAGAGTCAGCTGCATTATCGCACAGGGACCGAATTGTCAATTCAAATCCCATATCAGTAGAGGTAATAAAAGTATCAACGGCAATTAAAAAAGTTAGGTATTAAAGGTATCGTTCCAGAAGTATAGTCCAGTGAAATAAATTTTTAAAGAGATAAAGAAGGGTCCTGAGCACATGAAAGAAGACAAGTAACGGATGCACCCGAGCCATGGCATCTAGAATCCACTATTGTCTCAAGGACCTCAGCCAGGTAGTCGACACCTACCAAGATTTATTCCACTTGTCAGTGACTTCAAGCATTTGTGCCATGTTCTGGTTTGACCAGTTTTAGCATTCCTCCCTATCTCTACATCAATTGTCGGGGTAAATGAACATGCGCAACACAAGTCCCAGTCACTCAAACCGATGAACATTCACTACCTCGTCAATCGATTTACCATCGTTACCTTATACCATTTTTTAACACCAGCATTGCTTGCTCGGTGGTCCTAGGATATGCGAGCAATGCTTGAAAGACGCCTACCTATGATCGAATAACAGTAACCTGTCCATGTTTCACATCCTTATAGTAGGACGTAGCGAACTGATGCGAAGTACACTCAGCCTTTGGTTAACAAACGGATATGCCGCCCACGCTATAAGTGACGCAGGTTGGCAAATGCCAATCGAGCCTTCTCTATCCGTGCTGAGACTTCGTCACATCACTGATGAGACTCTCCCATGGGTGAAGCGGTCAACACCCTCAACTGCTTCACTCCCTAACACCAGTTCAGGTGTCGATGCAAGCCAATCACGAAGCAACATTTTGCATTTCGGAGGGGTAGGACCGCTATCCGAACATGCTTGCATTGTTGCCTATGGTGATCAGAAGACTTACATCCACTTGCCATCGTGGGTAGCCGAGGTGTGCCTGAAGGTTAGGTACACTGATCCATGGTGTTCTGCCCATCGATCCAATCTCCTCGAATGAGAATAAATAGTATGCGCATTCTTCTCCGAGGTAGCCTCGCTAACAGTCTGATTCCTAATTTCAGTTTCTTTGATAAGTCTCAATAGTTGTCTGTTGTTACCTATCGCCTTTCTTTTTTCTGCTACCCACCACTACTCGCGAACAATGCGTAGGCTTTTAAATGCCTGCACATAAGCCGACTTTGCTCCTAATCTTTTTCTGAGCCAGACGGAGTTTCCTGGCGTCCACTACTTGACCAGATGCTACTAAAATCCACTGTTCCCTACTAACCGTATGCTTTGTCTTACTGTCATATACCACTGTGGTCTCCAGAGCTTTATGGATATCATTGCAAGGATGAGTACCACCTACATGGCCGCCCAACAGCTTTTCTAGTTGCTACTGAAATATATTCTTTGCTTTGCTATCATTAAGGAGTTTTTTGATGTCTCCTTCTTACCCTCAGTAGGGGCAGACGAATACGTTCACGTACTAGAACGTGATCTGAATCTTAACACGTGCTCCAGAATGAGTGACAGTCTCCTACTAGGACTCTCCATCAGTGACCGTCAGCAATGTGGTCTGGCTCGGTCGATTTGGGGATCGCAATATCAAAATATGTTTTTCCTGATGCTTAAGGATAGTATTTGCGAGAAAAAAAGAAGTTATCTGAGCATAGATGTGGCTGACGGTCGCCATTGTCTGTTCGATCACTTGCGACACCATAAGATCCACCAGGGTGTCTCAGTCTAGCTTAGTCTACCTACTTGAGCATTGAAATCACCAGTCATTACTACTGGAATCCAGTCTAAGAGAACTAGTTCTGCTCTGGGACTCAATGCTATATCAACACCGGTGAAGCCACAGGAAACAGCAGTGAGGCATTCAGTTAAACGAAGTGTAGATGCCAATTGTTCTTTATCTTGACATGGTGAGGTCAAATGAACGACGCTACTCGGATCCTGTATGCGCGCTTCGGAGATCCAGCATACATCGATAGCACGAGATTTGAAAATTCTTGCTAAGGAAGCCTGTTGTCCTATTTGGCACAAGGTCTGAACATTAAAAGCTCCATCCTGTGGTTCGGGGAGGGGTTTCAGAAGACCAGGAATGATGTTTTGCGTGCTCCAATCATTTGCATAGGCGGCGCGCGGTGATAAAGGAATGATAGCAGGGTTAGTCGTTGAGATAAGAGATGTTAGGGGGTGAAGGAAGGAT